AAATACTATTTGAAAGGTAAAAGTAGACTGTGTTTGTGTTCTTATGCGTTTGTGTAACATTGATTGTTACTATTGACTAGAATGGAATTCAAAATTATGAAGAGACGAAAGAAATGAATGAATTAATAAATTATACTTTTTACTACCGATACTACTACTTCAATCCATATCATTAGCAGTAATAGTAGTAGTTACCGTAGTGTAATTATTATTGTGTTATTAGCCCATGTTCAGTGTACCGGCACCCTGACCGAAACCAAAGCCTTTCGGTCCAAAATGTTTTCCATAACAGCCTGAAAAGTAAAGAAAAGCACTTTAATGGTAAAGTCGGTTACTTTGGATGGGATATCGAAGTGAAATGTAATATTTTACAACGCTTACTCTGTTAACAGCTGGTTAGGCAATGGAGTACGGATAGGTCTTGAAGAATTGAATCCGTCAGTTCAAACATGAAGTTCAACTCATGACACCTGCAAGTTTTTACTTTGGTCTGACGATTGTTTCCCAATGCTTTTTCTTAGTTAGTCCAAAGTTAAACAGAACGACTGTTATTAGCCCTAGTGATTTTCTGATGGATAATAATGCTTCTATCTGCATGATTGGAGTAGCTAAATCATCAACTTACCTACAATTATGAATTCCATACACTGTATAATGAATAGTATGGTGCTTATTTATTTGACATGTACTTTTCAGAAATATGCATAAACCAAAAGAGGATACTTATTTACTGGATGCCAGCAACTAATTAATGGGGAGCTATGGTTTTTTGGTAATCACAAAAAAGGAGTATATGCAATCTCGAAATAGATGATATTTTTTAAGAAATCCAACCTTATTTTATTGACTGTCATAATTATGCAAATGTCTCTGAGATATTTTAGTCACGGCTGATCTTCTGCAAGATTTGTTAGGCACACTAGTACTTTATTATCGAGTAAAACTGTCATGACGGCATCTATGACCAACAATATGGTTAGTCTGTAGCTATAGCCATGTATGAAATTGTACACAATAACATAATAGGATGGGATAGAGAGAAAGTATTAAAAGCCAAATTAGTTAGGTGGAGGAAGAGATTGATCATCGAATCTTTATTTTTAGATAATATAGTTAGAAGACTAAGTTTATCTCAACAATGTGATGTAATAGCACAATATATTCTGAACAGTCTGATCGTACATTTACTTATCAAGCCAATTCATATTAAACCGAAGCTTGGAGAACAAATATAATAACTAAGATAGGAGGGGATTAAAATTAAGAAAGATGAGAACGAAAATGAAGAGTGACACAGTTGATCATAATCTTGGTTAGAATAGAAAGTTTACCAAGGTAGATGTAGTGTAAGAAAATAACTGCTTTGTAAACATAAATATAATTTCAATTTGTGTATGGCTTCCTCTCCCACAAACCTCAGTATGTATACCTGACTGCTTCTAAACGGGTTACAGAATTAATATTCAAATAGCTTTCAAATTTTTAATGTATGCAAAGCAATTTGTTCTTACACTACACCTACCGTGGTGAACTTTCTATTTTTATCAAGATTACGATCATTTGTGTCAATCTCCACTTTTATTCTCATCTTAATTTTAATTCCCTCTTATCTTAATTGTTATATTTGTCCTACAAAGCTTTGGTCTAGTATGAATTAGCTTGATAAGTAAATGTGTGATCAGATTGTTCGAAATATAGTGTCTTACTACATTAAATTACTAACAATACTATCTAAATTCGCAAACGGGACTCATCGTTTGGAATCTTTGCATATCGAATCAACACCAAATGGATGCAGTAGAAATGATTATGTACCTGTCCCAGATATATATGGAAAATTCTACTACTCTCATCAGAAAGAAGAGAGGATTAAAACTATATAAACTATTTCTCTAATTTTTGGAGTTATGTGTTGTGAATACGGACAACAAATTATATCTGAAACATTATCCAGTAAATGATACTATTTCACTATGTGATATTTTCAATAAACAGACTAAATTGGAATTAAAATCTATCATAATGCCCAAATTCAGTTCTTTGTAAAATGGTATTATAAACATGGAGTTTAAAAATTAGCCGTTATAACAAGTGATAAAAAAAGAAAACACTAAGTTAAGCAGTAAATCATCGCAAATCATCTTCAGTAAAACATCTTGGATGATGTAAATTTTTCGCAGCAACACCATGGTTAAATTCTAAATCAATACAAAGTTAATTGTTTGAGAGTGGATGTTCTATTCAAGTTGGTATAGGGTTTACGTTGTCAAACTAAATTTCACTAGTAGTGATTAGTAAGGAGGTAATGGAAATTCATCCCGACTGATAACAAGAAAAACTTGTAGAAGTACAACATCCTTTCTATTGAGTAAAAGTATTTATGCCTAGGATTTAATCTGCTTAAGTAAACTCAACAAAAGCGCAACCATTTACTACTGCACCTAGTACAACAAATCGCAAACATTTGGCCAGTAATTAATTTTATTAATATCTAATGAGAATCTCTGAACTCTCAGAAACTCACCAACCTAACTGAGCATGCTAAATAGCTGTCAACTAGACTGTCTGAGATAAGCTTCATCGATGGACTGAACATAACGAAAAATATCGATGACTGAAGTTGGATCACGCTTCAGGTAGTCTAATGAGCAGTCAAGCAACTACTTCCTACTTAGTGCAGCTCCACTTACACTATAAAAAATCTGACTGCCCAGCCACTGTGATCATAATGAACAGGCAGATATGGATTATCAGACTGTATGACAGCTGGAAGAGAAGATCGGTGCTTGAAATAAACTTTATTTCTGATTAGTGGGTGGTTTTGGTACCTCAGTCAGCATAGTGCCAGGATGGGAGCCGAAAATTGTTTTTCTAAATCCTACCATAACCGTGGCTTTGATTTAACATACATCATCAAATATGCATGTTCCTTAACATTTCACTCAGACTTCTGTAGCTACCAATATCGGAGGAAAAACTAAATATATAAGTAATATTTCAGCACCGCGGAAGAGAACAGTTTCATATTCGATTATTTATCTGACATTGCATACATTAATGGAGTACTGTTTACTAAATGGTGTTTCGAGCACAATTTATTGCTCATAATTACATCAGAGTTATCAAACAATTTCCAAGCTTCACTTTTATACTCCAGCAGTTCTTCATTTCATCATTTTAATGGTGGTAAAATTTTCCAGATATCTTTGATTCGTGATGCATCATTCCTACAACCTGTGTAAGGTATTAGTTCAATAAACAAAGAGTCTGAAATCAGTTTCTCCCTTCACCTAGTCATATTGGACATTGAAAATGTCACTCTACCCTACCCTATAGTGTGATTATAGATCACTACATACAGAGCGATATCCGAGTTTTCCGTTAAATTACTTATCTTAGTAGGGTCTGTCGTTCTATATTTCGCCAAACTATTGTGCTCCACAGTCCTGATTGAATCTTATCGGCTACTCTTCTTTATATACTCAGTGTAAGGTTCAAATCATACCATTTGCGAAAATATTTAAACGTCTGCATCATTTTATCACAATTTTTCACTAAAGAATATTACCTTTGCAGTAAACTTCTTTCTCCTCCTTCTGTGTGCACAAGTTTGTTGAATCAAGTGACTTCCCACAGGTTTTGCACCGGAAACAAGCTTTGTGGAAGTTTAGCTAGTTGAAAAGTAATAAAAAAAGTCAAAACACAAACAGATGAAGACTAGTAGCCAATCAAGTAACTGTCAGTTGACAAAATGACAGCTTTGGGCTTACTAAGTTACTCAGTTCTGCTGTATAATTGTTAAATACTTGATTTTGGTACTATCTCTAAGGGATGGAAGTCCTTAATGAGCATTATGGGGAGTAGAGAAAAGTGTCTTATACTACTGTTTAGTTAACACCATTTATTGGTCTTATGCATCTACAGAAAAGGTGTGGAAATGCATAGAATTTATTCGATGATTACGTGTTTCGATGTGAGATATTTTCTAGAACTATCTGTATGAAATAATAAAGACTGGTGATTATAGAAGCTGGGTTATTCAGGTCAAAACCAAAAACCATGGCAGAAATGTAGTAGTTTTTTTCTTCTGCCCAAAAGTTTGGGCATTTTACACCAGTAGGGTTTCTCTCTCCGTCACCAAATATATACACTTGATGTTACTGCTGACATTTCTCTTCCATTTTATCAATGAGTCGGAGAGTCAGAATAACATGATTTAATTATGAAAAGTCACTTCTGCTGTTCAGACTTATTCATTTATATTATTTTTATTTTATTAATCCCTTGGGTTCCTAATGGAACATACGGCTTTAGTAGCACGTCTCCAGTGTACTCTGTTCTCTGAAAACTTTTGAACCTGGCTCCACAACAGCCCACAAGCTCTCATTTCTTCCTCGCAGGATCTCCTCTATGTCACCCATGGACGCCCAACTGGTCGCTTCCCATCTGGGTTCCACTCGAGCAACTGGGCTGGCGCATGATGTCCCCAGTCGACCTTCTCAGTGTATACCCAATCTATCTCCACTTCCTTCTGCATATTGACTTATTCATTTAGGTGGGAAATAATCGAACAATAAGAAATTTCTTAGTAGTGGCAAGAAGAATTTCGGTTATTTCTTTTCCTAAGCTCATAAAGTTGGGTAATATTGACATTCCAATGAGTGTTGTTTACTCTAATGAAGTATTTCAGCAAAAGTGGTCTCTTCGTTTCTCGAAATCAGTTGTATAAAGTTCTAAACTCTGATAACAACTAGGAATTACGATATACCCTTCTAAGTATTGACTGTCTCCTGACAATTGGCAAAAATATCTACATTTTAGTCTTTTGTTGTTCAGCTTAAATGGTTTTGAGATCTAAAGAGTTCGCTGAGCATTCATTAGAATCAAGTTATTTACCCGATGATCTTGAGGTTATTCCTGAGTCCAATCAGACTTTAATCGAAGCGGGAAGATTACTTGCTATAAATTAGTATACAAATAGTTTATTGAGTATTATTATTGGTAAATTGAATACTCGTTTCAAAGTGTTGTCTAGAATCATTTTCAAAAGATCAAAATTTACACATGTTATTTTCAGTGTAATTCGACCGACGACTTACCCCACTTGGACATCCAATAGCTTTTTCTGCATCATAGACTCGCTTACCACAACGTGGACAACCTCCGTCCTCTGGCGGTATGATTTTACCACCCATTCCTGGAGCTGTTGGTTTGTTACTAGTTTATTGATTTTAAAGTATAAAAAATAGAATACAGTGTAAATATTGTAAACTTCATGATCAAAATCTAACCTGATAGAGTTGAATAAGTTGAGCATTGGATTACAAAATATATTTCATTTACAGTGTAAGTAATTCAAGACATTTGTTGCAAATTACCATTCTCGTATAATGCGCTCATGCTTGTGTTTTGTTTTATCAGAAGGAATCAAAATTTTAATTTAACAAAAAAAATAATAGAATTGATATTCGCTACTAAGAAGATATTAGCCTCCTAGTGTGAGTATAAATTACTTTCCTCGTTTACTGTGAATATATTGCACAAAAGCTTAAAAGCTAGAGAAATTCACTTTATTAGACTTTGGAAATATATGGCTCCAAACTCTTTTGTGTATGTAGAAAAATGAATAACTGAAGAGAAAGTGCCAGTAACCACTCATCCTTGTCATAAGGGAAAAACGTAAAGTATCGAGAATATACAGTCCTTCATAGATTACATGTAAAGGTAGGTCAACTGAAATAAGATGTCTAGACTAAAACGGTTTAACTTTGAGCTGCAACTCGTATTCTAATCACTTTTCAGCTTAGTTATTTACATTATTAGGCTGAATGAAATCAGTCAATATCAAAAAAGTATGAGGCTTTCCTGAACTAATCAGATATATTAGACATCATGAAGTAAAATAAATTTAGTAACCGATAGACATAAGTTTATAAGTGGTTGTCACAAACTGAAATAAGCTGGATTGTAATGGTGGTCCAGTAAGTATTCTTCAACCTTTTCGTCTCAAAGTGTGTACTGTTGATTGTTTTAGGCATTAAGCTTAAGATTCGCACTTGGTTCGACGAGGAAATTACTTTTAAACTATGTAGTGAACATTGGTCAACGATATCCCTTTTCTGTTGTGATCTTGCTATCCTTAAACGCTTATTGGGGGTATTCGTACATACTGTTGGTTAGACATATTTGTTTGTGGAGACATTTCTCTAGTCATTCAAAAAAAAATTTTTTAGTCGTTCAGTCATTTTCAAGGTTTTGCTTATTTAGTAAGCAATTTTCATAGAATGATTTTAGCGAAGAACAACAAGTCGTCAAAATGCAATGTATCGCCGCTTTACTATCGTATGCGACTCTCCACAGTCGTCTTGTCTCATTTCACTTCGTAAGAAGCTACCGTCAAACCATGATATTATCATATGATTTACCTCACAATAACGTCAGAATATGGCTATAGTGAGGGATGTGTTTATGAATTCTTTTAACTGACCCGTGACTCGTTTCTTATCACTTTACTTATGAAATCACAAGTCAGTAAAAATCATTTAATTACATCTCTGTAGCATCGTTTTATATAATCTTACATCACGTGCAAGAAGCAGGTAACTGCTTCATAGCTTCATACATTTCAATCATCCATGACAGATGAGAAATCTTAAATTTGTTGTATTTCTCACGGTTAAAGTGTTTTAAGAAGACTATATTGGAAGAGTTGATTTCCAGAAGTCTCGGTATTCAAACATGGTATTCTGTCAAAATTCTTAGTCGCAATAGCCTCAGTCACCGAAACAAATTGTCGCAGTTAAGATCCATTACACGAAGCTGAAAGTATTGCTTATTGCTATATGCAATAACACTAAAACCATTCCCAATAAATACCAGCTGCATCTATGATTATTGCCTTGTAAGGCATGTAACAGATTTGAAAGAAAAATCAAATCGATAGCTCAGGAGGGTAAACTGGTCACTCACAAATTTTTGTTTTATCAGTCTTGACCTAGATAACAAGTTACAACAGAAGAGAGAAAATTTCGCTTCTTGAGTACATTTAGTACTGAAATAAACTATAACGCTGTTCGAATTCATGAAGTGTTGAAGTATTTTTATAAAAATCATTGTTTTTATCTGATGTTATTAGAATGTTGTAGCTATATCTGTTACTGCTGAGTTGTTGTGAATATTTAAACCAATAAAAGGCTGCTCATATGACCAAGTTTTAAGTAGGAATTCGTATGTCATATCCTTGTATCTCTCACCCTTCTACAAATATATTCAAATTGTTGAAATACACGTTTCACGTTTTTTTTAAAAATTTATAGTTCATTTTTATCATCATTACTCTTTTGTATGTAAGACATATTTAATATGTACATAATATCTTGATGATTAGAGTACTGCTTGTTTGTGTTGAAACTATTTAGCTAAAGTATGTAATGAAATCATGAAGATAATGTGAAACAGTTTTAGCTATAGTTGTTGTCGAAACTGAACCCAGTTCAAAGTATACATATCATAACTTGCATGTTTCAGTACCGGTTTAGATATTCAAAGTCTGCCGTTTCAAATATAGATGTAGTCTAGGTTCTCAGTCATTGTCTGCATGATATCACTTATAGAATATAACGGAAATATTAAGATTTTCCAGTCTGAATTTTGGATGGAAATAAACTAGCTCAGACCATTGTAGCAAGAAATAAAGTAGAAATGCTTGCAATTTGTTGTATTAGTGGATTGCTTAGAATACTCACCTCATTTCTGTGTCTTTATTGCCAACATGACTTCCACTATCCATATTCAGCGCCCCGGAACCTCCACCGAATCCATAGCCTTTCGGACCAAATTTACGACCATGACAAGTTTTGCAGAAAACTTCTCCTTCATGTTCAGCAACAGTGGTACTGTCTAACATCTTATTGCATAAACCTATAGATGTTAGAGAATATATTTATTATAAAACTTACATGAGTATTAGTCAAAAATAAGGGCAAATTACTTAATGGAGTCTTCGAATTTTGTTACAGTAAAATATAATACTTTATGAAAACGTTAGGCAATAGTATACATACACATTTTAGTTTTGAGTCGACAGTGGAACAATAATGCCAAACTGTGGATTCATTGGAAGAAAGTTCAAGTAGCTTTTAACAATTTTTTTAAGCTACTGCATGCAACTTTTTACGTTAATTCTTGATTTCTTTTCACTAATTGTCATCAAAAATTCTATGGACTATCCAGGAGTATTCTTTGTTGATTTTATTCGGAATAAATCCTAGTACCGTTAAATTGTGTAAGTAGAAAATTAATTTATTAGTAACAAGGTCATTTGAAATTACCTTTAGAATACAATTATTTGAAAAAGTCGACTGGTTTACAAATGTTAGGATTATTTTTTTAGTTTGAAGGTCAATCGTCGATTCGTACTTTGCAAAAGTTCTAAAGTATCAGATTGTTTTTCACTTTAAATAGCGCATTAATACATAAGATAATTAGTCAGGTATCGGTGATGAAAAAACACTGACCTCTTGAATCTTTATCTGACATTTACTCTGGTGATATGTAAAAATTCTTATTTTTTGCCCCCAATACAAAATATGTTTTGAAACAAAGTGTACTGTTCTCAACTAATCCGTTTCTACCGGATAAATTCATCCTTATCCTTATTAAACAACTAGATGGTAGGAATAAAAGTCAGATGGTTTAGGCGAACTGTCAAATTATCATTTTCTGATACAAAACTGCTAACATCCAAAATGCATATAGAAGGCATCATCTTTAGAAAATCCATTATTATTTTCTATAAGATTTTAGAAATTCTCCAGCAATGCGATATAGATATGGTGATTATATAAAATTCAATTATTTTGGTTAAATAAGTTAATGAAAATAGAAGTAATATTTTTTAAAAGAGTTTCATCTGAGAATATTGTCTGAGTAAATTATAGAAACACTTTTGTCAACAATTTATTTCTGAAGACATAAAACCGCTGCAGTTCGCTGCTGCTGTATGGATGCCGTTTGCTTCATATGAGGGATAGTTGGAAAGTAGTTAACTATGAACAATCTGCATAACTTAGCATAATCAAATAGATGGCTACATATTTTTACCCACTATGCAGAGTTTCAATCTTTCTTGCCGAAGGTGAATGAATATTAAGAATTTTAAAACAACGGTATTCCTCTATACATGGTTTAAATGAGATCACAAAGGTGGAGTTCACAGTAGTTAAAGTTATTTAGGAATCTTTGTTGATATGAAAAGATTGGATAAGTTAGCTCACTTTCTAAAACAACCTCGAAAGAATTGTAGTACGATGTAAGTTTTTATTGATTTGAAGCCATATGTGATTGAAGTTGGAGAATGTTAGTCATATGTAGTCCAACGTGTTAAGTGGACAGTGAAATCGTCGCTATCATCCCTAAGGTTCATACACTTGTTTCCTTGTAGAGCCACACATCAGCAGTTCTTTGGATTTGCGAAATAGAATGCTGTTTGGGTTCAGTGTCACCTGAGTTTTGCTTGACCTACAGCTGATATTGTATCTTGTTGAGATTTTTCTTCTAATGCAGTTTCCGGCTTCGTCAAAATCGGTAAAATCCTTTTGTGGTGAAAACGATTACTGGATAAGATCTCTCCATTTACATTTTCATACAAAGAATTATTGATAATTTACGCACGAATAAAATCGTTATGTTTAATAAGTAAATATTTCTTAAAACCAAGCATAGTGAACCAAGCTGAAACAGCCTTCTTCAGTAACCAGTGCTGGGTGTATTATGTACAGTTATTTTGAGAAAGTTCATTTAAGACTGTGCATATCAAGCCTGGCACTGAGACATGTAAATCTCAGCTTCCAAGCAGAAAAAAATTCCTTGAGTCTAGTTGCTTTTAGGTTACATTCATAGCTGGAAAGTGATTTAGCTAGTCAGAAAGAAGCACTATATTTGATAACTTAAACCTTTTTTGACTAATACCAAAGACTATAAATTCGCATCTTATTTATCGAATGCTGACCACTTTTCCACAAGGTGCTGTCAAAAGTTATCCCATGATTTCATGCTATATATGTGCAAATTAGACAGATATCCAACAATACAAACCTATTCAGTTCTTTCAAGGTGCATCAGTTTACAATAGAACTGACACCTTGAAAATTAACTCTGTGTCTCCTGTTGTACAGTCCACCCAAATTTAGACTGTTATATATACACCAAGAATTAAAACGATAGTTTTGTGAGATTACTTCAACAATAAATTTTGCAAAATATCTCATTAACGCAGCAGTTTTGTTTATCTTTGGATAACTTGCATCATGAAATTAACACTAGTATAGGAATCTATGCAACACTTAGTACTTCCTCCTTTGTGGTTGTGTGGGTAATCGGGTATACATTTTTTCAATACTCTTTAGATACAAACCCAACCTAAGGGCTGAACCCTTCATATAACTGTTTTCAGTTTTTTTTTGAATTTACAGGCTATCTACTTGGTTTTTTTTCTTCCTTACCTCTTTCGGTTTTATGCCACTTTTTGATGCTGTTTCTTTGTCACTTGGTTTCTTTCCATTAAATAGGCAAGTATTATTGCTCAAGAAATTTTGAGAATATCTTTATTTTATTTTCGTCCACCATGGTAACAGAGTAGTAAATGAATAGAAAAATTTGTGTCATAATAATAAGAAAACTGTTCCATGTGGCACTCATTCAGATAGTTAGGAACATTTGGCTATCCCACTGGGGTTATATGAGGACTGCTTTCAAATAATCCAACAATGTATTGCAGTATCACACAAGTTACTATTTTCCATCAAAGGATTACTTTTCACTTACATTATTTGTGGGAATGTCATCAATATGAACAAGTATTCACTTAAAAAATATCCTTTATTATGTTCTGGAGTGAAGACCATGTTTTTTCTGGACATCTAACTGATAATTATGTCACAATTCATATATGTTACACTATATATGCAAAGCAAAAATAAATCTATTCAGCCAATATTATTATGGACAAGGGGAAAAAAGTACTAATCAAGGTTGATACATTTACAGTTAACTGCTTTCTACATTTGCCACCTTTACTGTAGGGATTGAATATTCCTTTTTTTTAGTAACTCAACTGTTAAAGGATACTTCACCTTCCAATCTTGTGATATTAGAATCACTCAAGAAGATGAATTGGTATTCAACAGACTTTTGAAAGGTAGTGAACCTTATGAATTAGCAAGCTGTAAGAGTAAAACTTGCCTATTGTGGTAGAGTATAATTCAATATAAGACTGCTTATTTGATATAGCACATAGTGATACAACTTATTTACTCCATTATACAGAATTTATGGCTCTTAATCATACCAAACATTGGGAAGCTGTTCATGTAGAATGTTTAGTAGAATGTAAACACCTGTTGAAGATTTTTACCTGATAGAATCATCTATGCCATCACCGAATCTGTTTCATTCAAACTCAAAGTGTTTCAAGTCACCTAAGGTAACTGACAGCTGTACTCGTAAACTACTCGGGTTACAAGAACACATTCTGGTTGGACACGAAAAGAATCCTAACGAATACACGCTTATAATTTAAACAAACAATAAAAATATGCGCAAGGCATTGAAAGTTAGTAGGCACTGACATGCAGTTAGGTTAACACACATATTCGTTTCTAACCCGGTAAGTCTGCCCCGATATGCTGAACTGTACCAAAAGGAGTCTGTTACTGTTAATGCCCAATAGACTGATCACTAAAAACATTGACTTGATGCAACTTTTGGCCGACTAGCGTTTGCAAATCTTCTCAACACTAACCAACTACTGAGGTGTAAGCGATTGTTTCACTAATATAGTAGACCCCTTGGTCGTCAAACTAAGGACCGATCTATTACAGCACAAGCTGTAACTGCTCACAAATGTAACTCCTCTGGAACTGGGGAAACTCCATCCAGATTCTTTGTGGAGAAGAACACCACTATTGGCCGAACTTTTATGTGAACTGTCAGAGATTCACTGAATCAAGAGGTAGTGCCTAATCCTTGAGATTTAGTTTATACAGACTCAATCAAAAAATGAGGTTGAGGAAACAAAACGGAGAACCGCCTACCACTTGCTTTCTTGTGTGATCTCACGCTGTAATTCAGTCGTTAGTTTAAGTAAGGTTCCAGGATAAGCTAATGTCGATCAGCTTCTTTTCTCTTCAAGAGCGTGGATTTAGAAAAAGGTACTCCTGAATAACTAACTATTGACGCAAGACTGCTGTTATTTATCTAGTTTTTTGCAAAGTGGTCGGTTGCGTTAACCACGTCTGCAGATAACTGAGGCCAACTTACTACTCATCGACTCGTTATAATCAGACTTACGTGACTTTTTATCAGGGGTTACAGTAAGCTTTTCCTTGTCTGGAGACAGAATGTCAGAATGGAGATGTTTCCACCTGGTTTTCAAAAGCTTGATATGGCCTCATCTAGAGTTTGGGACTACAGTTTACTCCTCCTGTGACTGCAGAAAGAGGAAGCAAGTCTAAAATGCCTCCATAGGCGGTCGAAAAAAGTTTTTCAACGACTTAGGTTCTAAACATATGGGGACCGACTGGAAACTTTAGACCCATATCCTCTGTAATTTGGAAGACTAGAAGGGGATTTTTAATGTCATTTGATATCCTAAGCACTCCTGAACATCAAACTCGTTAACTATGCAAACTCAGTTGTAAAACCAATCTTGCAGGACACAAACACACACAGAAGTTATGCGCCTAAAATAGCAGTTTAGATATCAGGTGTAAGTTTTACTCCTTAAGAGTTGTTCCATGATAAAATATCCCCATGCAGAAGTACTTAAATGCCACTTATTAGAGTCCATTAAACACCAACTTGATGCCTACTTGCAGTATGTGCAGAAGTTCAGTCACAACCAACATGGTTGTTCTATTTAGCTGAAATAATTTTATCTCTTTACCTGCTTCATACATAGGTTAGCGATCAGAGAAATTTGTGATCTGTTGATCCTAGACACGAAAGCTACTCAAGCGAAAACTTCTTTTATCCCTTTAACCACCATTTGAAGCCATTTAAATAAGTTAGAAATGGTTGTTATTACAGTTCATTAAATCAATAAATAAGTACAACCAGGGATTCTTAGGTATTTTACTTTAGTCATTATGGAATAAAAAGGTCTCCTCACTTGCTACATTAAGAAATGGAATTAGTCCCTTATCTCAATTCATACTGTTTTCATGAATGACACTGGCAGGGAAACAGTTTCAGGATTCAGCAGTATCTATATTTTAAGCAATAAATCAAAATGCTGTATGCATGATTCATGTCAAAGAAATCTATTATAAGAGTATTTAGGATACAAGTTTTCAAGACAAGTACTCACGACGATTGTTGTCTTCTGGTTAGTGTGAACAGTCAGTTGTACACTAAACTGTTTATGATATTCTTTAGAATATTTGCAAATTCTGCCTAATCGAATTCATGATATACAAATAAACCCTGTGAATTGTAAGAAAATATTTTTTCATAACAATCATGACTGACACAAATCTATTAAAATTAACTGATAGGATAAAAGAAAGTTACATATGAACCAATGAACTGCTTACCGCATTTCAAGCACATACTATGCCATGCTTTTCCACCAGCTATCTTTCTTTCAGCAGCATAAACAGCTTTTTGGCATTTTGGACAGATTTCAGACGGCATACTTGATAAACTTTGTCAGAATTAAAATAAATGCGACGGTGCAATAAGTCTGAAGTGAATATTTCTTCTTGTTGTTCTTTATTACTTAGTTAAGTTCCAGGGACTATTTTCGAAAAGTATTCTTCTGGTAGTTTACACGAAGATAATACAAGTGTGGAAGTGAATTCTTGTTTATCTCTCAACAATGCTTCAAATAAAATAAAATGTAATAACTTTGTGTGCTATTTATAAGTTTATATCTTTTGTTGTGTAGTATCTGGAGGGCCTTTTATGCAGGTATACTGTAGTATGAACAAGAGAGAAGGGAGGATGAGATACGGAAGAGAAGAGACGAGATAAAATATTGTATGTCTGTCTTACACTTCTGCCTTATCGATCAGTATGTGCATACAACATCTGCGTGTAGTTTACGAAGATGTTGTTGATTGGTGAACAACTGGTCATCATGGACAATGATTTCATAAAATTTATACAATTAGATAGAAGGTGGAATCAAGGTGTTTATCCCAACTGTCTGTCTAACCAAATCAATGAGGATGAACGTAAAAAGATTGCACGTAACTGAAGAAACTGTGATCCTTCTAATTTTGATTGGTATAGTTGTCCAGCAGCAGGTACAACAAGTCACCATCTGAATTTTATAGTCAAATATTTCTCTTCTGATCAATAAACTTCTTATAATAGTAGTAGGTAGTAATATGATTAGACGATGTGTTAGTCTAAAGAAATGGTGTAATTCAGGAGATAAATTGTTTTATTATTGCAGTAATGATGCTTGTAATTTCCCGTTTCTATACAGGGCCGAATTCCTCAACCTTTGTTGGCGGGTGGGCTCCTATGCGGATGCTTCGATGCTGCCGGTTATTCATGATGCTATATTGGCCTTGGTGACTGGCAGAGGAATCCAAGATGCATTTTGTCTTGCTTGGGACTCAGCAGCTGGATATACCCGCACCTCAGTGAGTGGTGTTGTTACCACTGAGGCCCGGACCAAGACCGTTGTCTATTAGGTCATTGGGGCACGCTATCCACCTCTTGTGCAGCATGCATCAGTTGTTGTAATGACACTTGTAATTTCCCGTCGCTAAACAGGAATGAAATGCTCGAACTCTGTTGAGAAATTGGGTTCCCATGAGGATGCCTTGATACTGTTATATTATAACTGGTGTTATCGTTGTTTTTGAATTCCTTAACTTTTATTAAAAAACACTTTTAAATAATCCTGGAAAATTGAACAACTTAGTGTGTTGTGAAACAGTGTGACGTAACGTACACACTTTACATCAACCTTAAAAAATACCACTGATAAGTCGTTTTTCTTAACTTCTTTGGCTTACGATAACCAATCAGTGATGAAACTAAGAAACAAGTCATGGAGCAATCCTGAAGAGTGGTAGATTATGATAAGGATGTGATTTGTGAACTAAATAGTTATCAAGATTCGTTTTATCCAAATCATTTTAATGATTTTAGTCAGTAATGAACACGGCAAGGACGCCAACTATTGAGTCTGCATTCTTCCAGATAGTTTGTACTAAAATACAACATTATTATGCTTTCTATACAGTTTTCCTGCTTTACGCTGGAGTATATGTCAAGAATGGCGGAGATATGTTAGTCTAAAAGCATATTAAACAGAAAATCTCAAGCTGAGTTTTGGAAATTCGGTTCTTTAATCTCCTGAAGATTACTTCCAGACAATGTTAGCATTTTCTTTGGTCGTCTACCTCAAATGCACATTCCCATCTATTTTTAAACAACTTCATACAGACAGAATACATTCATGACACTATTATGCTATAGCTTCGTTAGTCTGTTCATTCGAAGCGAGATATTCTACTTGGGATCCAGAAGCTAACCATAATGAATATCATCCAGTGGATTTCATCTGAAGTCATTTTTAATAAAATCATGTTTCGCTGTATTACTCACATGTTGAAGCTTTCTACTTTGCTTCTTGTCAAATCATTGGCTGGACATACTTAATAGTTTTCTGTGATAAAAATGAAACAGATGTTTTGTAATATTTTTTAGTGAGATACCTACCAGTACTTGGTTATACGTCTTAGCATACTTTGCACTGCTTAGTATGTTAAACCTGGAACGTGGTGATTTCAAGGATATTATTACTACTCCTACATACTTGCATATCTAAACAAATAAATTCTAAAGACTAGATTCATACTACTTGACATTTTTCTGAAATTTCAAGATATTTAACACTTACTTATCAAAATGTAGGACAGTAAAATTCCGATGTTCGCTTAAAAGCGTGAAGATATAGCATTAAAGTGTCACACAATTACTAAAATCCTCTTAATTTGCTTTCATAACTTAGATATTTTCATAATATCGAGATCATTTTCTAAAACCTTTTTATAAAAAGGTCATCGAAAAAGCTGTCTGGACTCATAATTACAATCCTTAATGTTTATAATAACTCATCCTGCCACTAACTCGGTGTGGCAGTGTCTGAATAAAATATGCTCATTTTTCTTATGAAAGTTATCAAGTGCATTGTAGTAAACCTGATGTCAACACAAAGGGAGTCCGTGTATTAGTGTATTCTGCATCTAAGTTAGCTACACATATTCTTATGTAGTGAAGTTCTTTAAATAAAAGTAATATTCGGAAAAGGTTCACTACTTCATGGCAAGTAGCGCTTATACTTTTTTAAATATAAATGTATCACGAAAAGAAAAATTCTTCTGTGATGTTTTACTCCCAATATTCTGGAATTACAGTGAACACAGACTGTGTATAGCACTGCCAAAAAGTAAGACAGATTAAAAGTGAATTTAAGCTAATGGTTGTTGGTGTAGCTTATTTACTCGTAGAGATGCTATAGCTAATATGCGACAACACATGAAGTACAAATGAAATAATTCATGGTTACAACATAAATTTTAACTAAATTGCAGTTTAAGCCTATTATTTCTGTGAATGGTTGTTGTTAAACGAAACCTATCAAACAGCTAGAAGCTTTGCCTACATAGGTCAGAGTGATAAAAATACCAAACAGCCATTTTTCTAATTCAGTATTGAGATCGTTGTTTTAGTCAGATGACTTTGATCTTGTCAGTGGAATCTACAGACTATCGTGGTCTATAACTGGCGATTTGCTTCAGTATATTCCCCCAGTTCATAATACTTCTTTTTCAAAGACTACAGTCTGGATGGCTTCCAATGAAATCTGAGTTGACATCATGGCTACCAAGTCAAGAAAGTTACTCAACTGCAATCTGTGGATGATTTCTTGATTGTTCAGGATATTTTTAAAATAAGTTACTCGAAATGTTAGGTGTTCAATGTGCCAATTCTATTTTGTGACATTCATACCTGTTTGAAGTCGTACAGCACATATCCATTTGCATTGTTGTTGCTCTTGTTCACAACGCTCAAATCTACCGCGTGTTAGGCAAGTTCTAATGATTTTTCGGGTAGCAGTTCATTCTGATTAGTCAATTCTAACATACAGTTAGGAACAGAAATCATTGAAAAACTAGATGTTTTGTAGCCCCCCATCTTGAAATGCTGTCTACATAGGTTTTTTAAGATATTCATCACGGTTCTGTTTCACAATACTTATATTTTGGTTTCTCTTATGGGTGTTTGGTTTTTAAGGCACTGAATGCATGGAGACAGTATTCTCTTGTTTGGATGTGTTAAGCATTTTCTCTTACCTCAGACAATATGATCGATTAAAGTTAGCAGAGCAATAGATATAAGAAAAGCATGAAAATGCTCAGAAAACCTATAAGTAAGTAAATAAATAATCTCTTATGAACATTTTATGTATCGTATGAAAAAGTTGATTATTTGCTTGAATAATGGTTGGGTTTACAAAAAAAAATCTTTGCAAAAAAATGACGTAAGCTGAATAACTACTGAGGACTTAAAACTAATGAACATAAACAAGGCTCTGGCAGTGGTAGCAATCCAGTGTAAAATGGAACCTAGAACCTACAAGCCTTATGATCAGTATATTTTTATTGAGCCAATATGTAGGAAGTCAATATCTGTCACTTCCTTGCTATGTCGTAGACTGAAGAGAAAAGTTTGATGTATTTCGGGAGACAGTGGTTCCAAACTACCTATTAAAATACCACCCATTAGGTTTCAGTTAAAATGTTAACAATAAAATTGTCATCAAATCGGGAGGTCAAACTGAAGCTAGTTATGAGAAATTTGCTTTATAAAGGCGGCAAGATTCAGGTTCCGAGATAATTTACCTGAATGACTATTACTTACCACTGGGCTCCTGAAAATATAGAACTGTTGAACTTTAAAAAGGTGTAAGTCACGAGGACTTCTGATTTCGTATGCAGTCGTATATAAGACCTTCAGCTCTTCTCTACGAACGTTGTCATCAGATTCTAGCTAAAATGAAAGGAATTCATGGTGTCGTTCAAATACTGAGTAGCAAGCTGGGGTTATGCTTTGCGGTGAGGTTGTATACGAATTTTGAGTTCATATCCTTTGGAACCAAATATTTTACAGGATTTGTTGGGTCTGAGTTAGCGTAACCTTACTTGGTGAACATGCGAATAGCATCTCAAGCTATCATCAAGACAATGCAGAGTTTCGTAATGTCTTGAGTTTAGGATCCATAGGTAGATGAGTACTTTTAAGGTTTCGAATCCACGGCTTCTGAAATATCTGACTGGAAGTTGCTGAGTAATATCAGGTGAACACTTCAATACTATCCATACAAAATGTTTGAAAAAAAATTGAGATGTATCGTGGTAAAAAGAAGCAAGGCCAAATCAAAGTCGAAAACGATTATCTGTACAATAAAATCAGCTACATTCTTCGAGGGAAAGTAGAAAAAATACACAGAAGCCATTATGAAACTTTATGCTCATGCTTATTCAGTTCATTTACGTGTCTCAACGAAGAGCTGTCACTTAGATGATTTATTAGATAGATAATGATATCTCTGTACAGTATATTAGTATACTAGTTAAAAGGTGTGGTAAACGGGTAGTAGAGTGTGTTAGTGTCGTATTGAAGAGTTCTTATTTTGTAATCTAGTGTAATTGATCATCAAAATGCTGAGACAGTGAATTGTTTTACAATGTTCAATTTAGTAAATAAAAGTAATCCATTTTAATGCACAGATCCTACTGTTCGTTACTGCTTTCAATCGCAAGATTTAAAAGAGAATCCGAAAGTCCGGTAAAATTCTTGTTGTTCTTAGTTGATTTCAGCAATAAGGCATAATTTTATTGACTGGGCGTCAAAAAAGACCACGAAATGTGATCAATATGCTTCTGCCTGGACAGTGAATCGCAATACGGTATTATCTCGGCATACATCCCAAGGGGAGC